GCTGTCAGGTTTGACGCTCGGCGGTCGAAAACGTGACGGGAGAAGGCTGACGGACATCTGAAGTTGGAAGGGCGAAGTTGGATCGGGTTTGAATGTGGATAGGCAAGATTCAAGAAGGGATCTGGAGAAGACGAAGTGCAGGGGATCTGGAGAAGACGAAGTGCAGCTTTTGAAACGCGTGAAAGACTTTTTTTTGAAAGACTAAAACGTGTGAGAGACTAAAACGCGTGAAAGACTTTTTTGAAAGACTGAAACGCGTAGACTAATGAGCAGCTTTTGAAATACCTTTTTTTTTTCTCTTCTCTTTAGTTTTGTGACAGGTAGCTGACTTTAGGTTAATTGAACATTGTGAGCCTTGTATGTACGTGTGAGCCTTGTATGTACATAATAAATGGACTATTTAATTGAATGGCTTTTAATTGGATGTGGCTTTTAATGTAAATTGACTTTTGGGATAGTGTAATTTTATTTGAATGTTAATGCATGTATGTAATTTTAAATGGATACTTATATTAATTAAGCCAAAATTCAAATGATTAATTATATTAATTAATCCAAAATTCAAATGATTTATTTATGTACATTGTATATAGGGCTTTTTATATTTTAATTAAGCTAAAATTCAAATGATTGATTATATTTTTTATTAATCCAAAATTCAAATGATTAATTATGTACAATGTATATAGGGCTTTTATATTTTAATTAAACCAAAATTCAAATGATTAACTATGTACATTGTTTATAGGGCTTTTATATTTTAATTAAGTCAAAATTCAAAATGTGCATGAATGAGACCTAAAAAAATTAATTACTACTCATACTATTTTTCTTATATAAATCATCTTTCAAATGAATAAATTTACATAGTAAACAAAAATTTCAATTTCAAAATGTCTTCATCCAACAAAGGAAAAGAAAAAATTAGTCTTAGACCTTTAAACCCACAAAAAAATGATTTTGATGATACTCCTTTATGGAATCACGTAAAAGTTATTAACTTGGCAAGTGGAGGAGGAGGAAACAGAGTATGGTCTTGTAACTATTGTCACAAGAAAGTTACAGGATCGTATTCTAAAGTGAAGGCTCACTTACTAAGGCTTCCAGGAAGCGGTGTCACCATTTGCAACTCAATTTCGGATGATATTGCTGTTGTTATAAAGAAAGAACATGAAGATGCAGAAAGAAAAAAGGCTAATAAAAAAATACGAGCTAGAAGGCAAGCTGACTATTTGAGTTTGCCACCTGGCACGGATCTCTTGCAGCAGAAAAAAAGAAAACCAGGTGCTCTAGAAAATGCGTTCAATGTTGCTGACAGAGATACTGCTGATAAGCTATGTGCAAGGATGTTCTATGCATGTGCGTTGCCATTCAACCTTGTACGCAGCCCTCAATTCAGGAAATATTCATTGTTTTTGGAAAATAGCAAATTAACGGGCTATATACCTCCAAATTATGATAGACTACGCACTACTCTTCTTGCGCAAGAGAAGGCACATATTAATGTGAAAGTTCATCATATCAAAGAAAGTTGGAACAAGAAAGGATTGTCTATTTGTTCCGACGGTTGGTCTAATATACAGAGAAATCCATTAATTAATATTATGGCAGCTTCTGAAAGTGGAGCATTATTTCTTTCATCCACAAATGCAAGTAGAGAAGTGAAAGATGCTGAGTATGTAGCCAACATTTTCATCCGTGCAATCGAAGATGTTGGACCAAATAATGTCGTACAGGTCATAACGGACAATGCAAGTAACTACAAGGCGGCTGGTGGGATAATTGAGCTTAAGTATCCTCATATCTTTTGGACACCTTGTGTGGTCCATAGCTTGAATCTAGCCTTGAAAAGGATGTGTGATCCTCCTGAAAACATAGGTGCGTATGTTCATTGTGCTTGGATTTCTAAGTTGATTGCTGATTGTCAAAGCATCAGAAATTTTATTATGAATCACGACTTGGCACATGCAATTTTTAACAACTATTCATCTTTAAAGTTGTTAAAAATTGCCGAAACTCGTTTTGCATCTGGGATTATCATGGCTGACCGTTTGAGCAAGGTAAGGAAGGCCTTGGAGAGCATGATCATGGATGAAAGGTGGAAAACATACAAAGGAGATGGAAAGAGTGTCGTTGACAGTAAAGCCCGTGAAGTGAAGCAATGCATTGTTGATGACCAGTGGTGGGATACGCTTGACTATCTATTGAATCTCACTAGACCTATCATCGATTTTATACGGGTTGCTGATACGGATTCTCCTATTCTTCATCTTGTATACGATATGTGGGATTCGATGATAGAGGAAATCAAAACTGTTGTTTTCAGGCACGAGGGGAAAGATTTGCTCGTTGGTCAATCAGCTTTTTTTGATGCCATTCACAAAATTCTGGAGGAGAGATGGAACAAAAGCAATACCCCGTTGCATTGCCTAGCACATTCACTTGTTCCGAAATACTATACCGATTCCTGGCTTAAAGATGGAGATGGTGTCCAAAGGTTGGCACCACATGAGGATCAAGAAGTCTCAATGAATAGAGTGAAGTGTTTCAAGAGAATTTTCGAGGATCCAAATGATCTTAGAAAAGTGTGTATGGAATATGGAGAATTTTCCAGTGCAACTGGATTATTTAATGATTCTTTCATTAAAGAGGCAAGGGTGTTCGAAGAACCAATCTCGTGGTGGTCTAACTACGGATCGAGCGAAGTTGTTGCAATCTTTGGCCTTCAAATTACTTTCGCAGCCAGCATCGTCATCATGTTGTGAAAGAAATTGGAGTACATACTCACAGATCCAAAATTTGAAGAGGAACAAGCTAACGAGTTCAAGAGCCGAGGACTTAGTTTATGTCCATGCCAACATGAGACTCTTGTCAAGGAAAAAGAATTCGTATAAGAAAGGACCTTCACGATATTGGGACATTTGTAAGTTATTTTATTTGAGTATCCTAAATTATTTTCTCATATAATATGTTTTCAATCTTATTAATATTTCATTATTTTATAGGTGGAGACAAATTTGATATTGATGGAGATATGAATCAGCTAGCTGATCTATCCATCAATGAATCGGAAATAGAAACGATTACATTTGACGATTCTTTGGATGTGGAGAAGGACGGAAATGATGAGTAGAAAATTAAGTTAAATGTTAATTTTTTTTTTCTTTTTCTATTTCAATGTTGCATGAGTTGAGTAATATATTTGTATTGGAATATTATTGGTTTTTTTTATTTCAATATTGTATTAGTAATATATTTGTATTAAATTATTATGAATCTAAATTTATAATGATCTATATTAAAATATTTAATTTTATTACACTGACTGCCGTACCCGCGAACCCGTGTCCAAATTTGGGTACGTGTCCCCGAATCTTAACATTTAGAAATATAAATACCGGATACTTGAATATGTACCCGTGTCCGACACACGTACCCGAGTCCATGTAACATAGGCTCTCCCTCAAGAGTTTTAACACTGTTGCATTCCCAGGGCTCGAACACGAGACCACTGGTTAAGCTGGAAGAGACCCAAGCCATCTCATCCAAGCGCTTTTAGGTAAAAATTTCTATATTTTTAACTCGATTTGGTATTTGAATGAATACATGTAAATCTAAAAACTGGGAAATACTAGAATAAGAATCTTCTTATTCTGGTTAATATATTCCAAAATGCAATATTTGATTCGTGTTTGAAGATATATGTATCACTAAAATACAGTATTTGCCACTTACGCTGGATTTATATATAGGTATATAAGAATCCCAATCTTGTTCAAATATGTGGTGACTGAAGAGTTAAATTTTTTATTGTTCGAGTATATTAGATTTTGATAGCTGCTATAGGGTAGTTCTTGCAAAGTAAGTTGTGGATGCAAGTTCTAGACTAATATTGGTAAACTTTATGTTTTCTAGACCAACATTTTTTTATGGATGTTGCTGGGTTGTCTGATTATTAATTTATTACTAGTATTAATATATTTAAATTTGTGGGATTTTTCTTTTATGGAGCTATTGCTTAGATGTGCTTGGCTTACAAGAATTTTGCATTTGGTGTGGACAATTGAGCTTGTTTTACTGCTTTTGGGGGGTTTTGATTTTATTTACCTTTCCTAGTCTATACTTATATTAAAAGCTATACTATTTACTAAATGTAGTATGTAGAATAGTCAATCCTAATTAATGATTTGCTATTTTTATCAAGCATTTAATTAATAAATCTAATATTTTTGGTATGCAAATCAAATTAGCATTTAATTAGTTCCTAAAATATTGAGTATGCAATATTAATTTAGGAATATCCATGTAGTTCCTAAAATGTTGGTATGCAATACGTAAAAGAAGATTTTTTTTATTTTTTTTAAATATAAAATATTGCAACATGTAAAACTATTCTAATTATTTTTTATTTTATTTTACATATAAAATCTAATCAATATTTAATGCATCTTACAAAATTGGATTTAGTTTAATTCTTCATACAATTGGTTGTACCTTTTCAGTTGTAATTTTTTTATTTATTTATTTTACACTTTTAAATTAATGAAGCTCTCCAAAAATACCAAATCAAATGATTTATGAAAGTTTTCTTTTTTTTTTTACAAAAATCACATCCCTCATCTATCGTAAAAACTTTAAAGGTAAATAAATAAAAGCCTAATTACTACTATAAATCCATTATCTATATAGATTTTTAAAAATCTAAATTTCACCTGTCTAATTACTAATATTTTAGATACTTTTAAATATTATTTGTATAAACTTTTTTACACATTTGCTCTCTCTATATATATACATATATGGAGGTTAAATGAAGAATTTTTAGACATATTTTTCTTACGGGTAGTTTAGAAAAAATTAGGTAGCTTCAAACATTATTTATGAATAATATAGAATATTTTAGATGCTTTTATAGATGTTATAAAATATTTTAAGAATTTTTAATATTTATATATCACACTTAAAAAGAATATTTTGCCAAAAAAACATTAAATACACATTGTAAATGTTAATAGAAACAATCTTCAGTGTTCGTCTTTGATTTTGTCAAAACAAATCTCATAAAATTGGTGAAGCCAAAATTTATACGTAAAGTCTATCTATACTAAAAAAAGGTAGATTCAAAATTCTTTATCTAATTTCTTCTTTTCCTTTTCTAATTCCTTCTTATTATCTTTCTTATTATCTAATTGTATAGAAATCTGTTCTGATTTTGTTAAATCCTCTAATTGTATTTGTATTATATCCCATAAAATCGGTTTAACAAAAAAAATCCATAACATCCGATAAGTAAAAAA